GTAAGACAAGGAGTGTGTTTATCGTTGTTGATTTTCTTCTTCAAGAAGTGATACGGATGACGCCCGAAGGCGACGAAACGTTTAAATCATAACGATTTTGAATAGAACCATGACATAATTTTCCAAATTCAAGTCCTCAGGGTTATTCCCCTTCTACTTTTACAACTACAATATCAATGTAAACAGTCTTTCCGCTATATTTTTCTCACATGAAGCATTTCACATCATAAAATAGTGAACGCATAGCGATTTTTGGGGGGGGGGAGATTGTTTTTCGTGTTTTACTTCAGTAAGAGTTTTACGGCACTTGATTGAAACACAATTAGGTCATAATTTCATGACAATAATCTCATAGATATGTACATTGTCATGTGTTACATCGTGATATTTTATCACATAAGTATTATGGGAACTCATACATTTATCATTTCGAGCCTAACATTAGACGTGTTACAAGTGAGTAACAAACGCTTAAAAGAAGGAAGTGAGATGAGGACGAGAGATGTTTGACGGGAAAGAAGGAGGAGAGATAAAGACGATAGATGTTTGATAGAAGAGAAGGAGGAGAGATAAAGACGATAGATGTTTGATAGGAACTAAGGAGGAGAGGTAAAGACGATAGATGCTTGATAGGATAGAAGGAGGAGAGGTAAAGACGGTAGATGTTTGATAAGAAAGTAGCAGGAGAGATAAAGACGATACATGTTTAATTGTAGAGAAAGAGGAGATATAAAGACTATAGATGTTTGATAGGATAGAAGGATTGAGTAAGCTACTCCAAAGTACTCACCGACCACCCTTGAACGCATATTATTTTACCATAGGTTTCTTCTCCATCATTGTGTTTTTGTTCTTTTTAATGACGTTTCTGGTGAAGACCAAAGGGCAAAACGTCAAACTTAAAATTATCTTTTATAATGTTATAAAAATTCCGAAATACACAAGTCTCCATCCGCTTTTGGTTTTTCGCTTCATACTTAAACGCTGGCACTCACTCCGGATAGCGATGGAAAATGTTCTTCTCTAAAATGTTCTCCTTTCACTTCTTTTCTTGTTCTATAACAATGTTCTGTCGTCTGCTTTCGTCTCCACTTTCTCCCCTCACCTCCTTTGCCTCCTCCTCTGGGCTCGTGACTCTTTCTGTAGGCTTTCTACTGCTACACCTTGGTTCCTTCTTATTGCCATTTTTGAGCTACACTCCTGATCTTATGGTAAGAAAGATCTACACATAGCCTTCTCGAAAAAGGGTGAAAAATCTCGGAGTTCTCGTGTGCAAGTTGCGCATGTTAAAAATCCCCCGGTGGTCCAAAATCGATAAGAATTGGTTTCGGTCGCCCCACGGGCAAAATTCAAAATTTCGTACATGTACCAACTAAAAATGTTTAATGTGTCCCGCGCTCTCATATTATGGCCTTATGCAGTTGCGAGCACCGTAAACGCTTATCAATTTTCAAAAAAATATTTACCACGATGACGATATTACTATAGTTACTCTTTCCAATTCTTTGCAAAACATCTATCCTACCAAATGAGGCCAATCTGTAATAGTTGGTGGATGGCGGGTGCTCTAGCGTGGTTTGCTCCTTCTTTTCTACCAACCATCTCTCCTCCTGATCTCCCCTCCTCCCTTTTTCTGTTGGGTACTCTCTAGTAACACTTCTAATCTCAAGCATCTAATATTGCTTTATTGTGTTGCAAGTGGCGTAAAACTAAAACAAAATTTAATTTAAAATAAAAACCCGGGTTAAACAATAAGGTTTAGAACAGGAGAATGTGATTGGAGGCAGCCATGGGCTACTTTTTCACTGCACCCTTCGTCAGCTCTAACGAGGTGTTCTGCTTTACAAGCACACCTATAAAAGAAGAGTCACAGTTTGTGTGTTAATTATAGGCCTGTTTTTTGTTGTGTTTGTGTGTGTGTGTGTGTGTGTGTGTGTGTGTGTGTGTGTGTGTGTGTGTGTGTGTGTGTGTGTGTGTGCAGACTTGCGAGAGGCAATACAAAGCAGCAGACTCACAAGGATTGTAGTATGGATCTTTAGCCCTGCTCATGAACGTGCTCATAAGCTAGCCGGCCAGGCTGAGATTGGCGGCACCATGCAATTAGATCCACCAACAGTCTGGCCTACATTGACAGCATGGTTCAACGACCACAGAGAGAATGAAGGCACCACATCACACACAATGGACAGACTAAGGGAAGGTGGTGTCTCTAGAGGGTCGGGGAGAGACAGCAACCTACGTGGAAAAGCCAGAAGAATATCCAACCAGCTGATAACTGGCAAGATCATCAAGCAAACCCTTTCATGGATCCTGGAGAGGAGGGTGGAGCATCTAAGGCATTGTCGCGACTGCAATGTGCTTATTCTCCAACCAAGTAAGTACCAAGGAAGCGCGAGCGCGTGTGTGTGTGTGTGTGTGTCTGTGTGTGTGTGTGTGTGTGTATTTGTATGTCTGTGTATATCTGTGTGTGTGTGTATGTGTGTGTGTGTGTGTGTGTGTG